AGAGAGGCTAAATCTGATTTAGTGAGTTTTTCTCTGTGACAGAGGTCTGACCAAACCATGCCACCAAACAAAGAGATAAAACAGACTCAATAGAAGAACGATAAAACCAAAGTTGAAATTGATTAAAAGACAGTCTAATAGATGGGTTATGGTCAGCAAATCCCAAAGAGGGAGGGATTTACAAGCATTCTTCCACTGAATTTCATGTCAACTATTGAAGATGATTGTTTATGTACATTTTTATTTATTAAAATAAGCCTGTTGGCAGACATGTAGAGAAGGTAACCCAGAGGAAGAGTCAACTGGCAATTTCATGTCCACAATCACAGATAAATTTTTTATGTAATATTATATTGAATTTGAACAGAAATGTCCTTATGTTTGTGCAGTGGATTGCGATGAGATGTCCAAGAAGAGGAATCTGATGAGAATTTGAAGTTGAGCATAATTGTCCTTTATTTTCTGTGGGATATTGCTGCCGATAGAAATCAACCTTGACAGAGATGTAGAGTAGCTGAAGGAAGAATAACATTGCCACCCAAACTGAAAAGAAGAATAAATGAACACCCAATCAGGAAAACAATGGTGCAGGAGCTTAATTTCTCTTAATTTCCTGAAGAGAAAAAAAGTGAATGTGTTCATTTGTATGTGTGTGTGTGTGTGTGTGTGCTTGCGCCTGTGTTTTCAATCAGCAACAAAGAAGAAGCGCTACTTTAAAGCTTAGTGCAGTCAGTGTAAGAAAATTGATGTCGGCTCGCTTGACTGCAGTGCTCTGTGTTAGCCACTGTTGACCATTACTAGGATTCCTTTTAAGTTCTGTCAACTTATTTCCATGGGAAACATGAATGAAAAGTTCTAGGTACTATTTTTGAATTTAAGTAATAAACATTTCATTTTTATTATGGCCTAGAGACTGGTGATCTCTCCAGGTATACCCTGTCTCTTCACCAATGGCAACTGGGATAGTCTCCAACTGCAAACGCACAAACAGATTCTGGTCGGTTTAATAGACAGTGTGTGTGCTGCAGAACCAAGCTATAAACCAGGCTATAAGCCTGGTGCTGCATCTCAAAAGACTGTGAGGGGACTTCACTCAGAGATGGAGAAATATGCAAAAACAGCAAACGGCAGCCAAAATAAACGCTTGCTTTTTGTTTAGAATTCCATCTCTGCACATCTGCATCTGGACCCTAAACTCTGACAGAAACCTCTACACTGCAAAATAGTATGCAAATATTTTGTTGAATTGCTGATGCAGTTATTGTTATCTTGTCCCAAGGCTTGTTCCCCAAGTAGGTTTTCCAACTAAGCTATGTGTACACAGATATTTTATATATAGCAAGATGTATTTTACAGTACAGTGTGAGTGGTTGTTTGCAAGAACTGACCTGGACTACAGCATATTCCACCAGGGATGAAAAACCAAAGAGCAGACAGGCAATGAGCCAAATATCAATAGCCTTTACATAGGAAACCTTTGGTAGCTCTGAAGCCAAGGACATGCTCTCACTGGATAGCGAAAGCACTGACAAAATACCTAGAAAAGCACAGACGTTAACATGTTAATTTTACCATTTTATAATAATCATTTCCAGGTAATTGAGATTTGTGATCATTTAATTCTGCTTGGATACATCAAAAAGAGGAGATTCAATTTTAAAGTAGTGATCATTATAATACACCATATTGAATATACATATAACATCGTATTTGCTACAACTCAGTTACATCTGAATACCTTCTTTAAGAGTTCTGTCAATTGAACATTATGATCCTTTATCAAGCACAGTATTAAATGTATGGCTGCATCAGTATGTCAATCTGAGCAGAGGGAAACATTAGTATTAAAATATGTTTTAGGGAAGTAAAGTTTTAAGAAGTGAATGATTAGTCTACAGTTACAGCTAGCACTTTTTTTTCTCATCATTCAATATTCAATCTGTCTTTGTGGGAACAGAGCAACGAGGAATCTTGACTGAAATTAGGTACTGATTCATAATGAAAATCTCATGCATGCATATAATAATGCTCTCAATAGGACTTGAAAACAAATTTAACATCAGGAAGAGGATGTTTCTCAGAAAATGGCCTGGTTAAAGCCCCTCTGAGACATGCATCTTGTTATTAAATTTGTTGATGTCATGTCTTATTAATCCAATTACAATTCTGTAAAGGCCAGCATAGTCAGATTTGCTTTATATTTGCCCGAATTATATGCTATATATGCCAAAATAACCACATGTTCATAGCAATTGATTACTGAACTAGGTTTGATAAGAATTGCTTTACAGTAGCTTTGTGAAGGTGAAATGTAAGAAACAAAATATATGGCTCTACACAGATAAATGACAAATTTATCAGTTTGTCTTCCAGTAACAGTCGTAGCCACAACAAATAAGAATATGCTCATGTACACACAAAGATGCCATACCATTTCTCTATTCTAAAATCTGGATAGCAAGCTTTATGGAACTTAATGGGGTCCATTTTATATAAAGTAACATGAGATCAGGCATTGTTGGGGAGACTGGATTCAATCAGAACCGATAAAGCTGGGGAGACAGGTGAGACAAGTTTAGAAATGATCCTTGTGCATTAAGGTTAGACATAGACATTTAATCTACATCTGCTTTTTCTTTCTATTCAGTACATGGTACAGCTTTCTCCCTTGCTCCTTGTTTCTCATGAAAACAAGGTTGACCCTTGGAGCTACTCTCACTGGAAAGACATGAGACCTCTACACTTTATATTTTAGTCAACTGAATCAACTTTAGATTTAATCAACAATATTCTTATGACTTTTGGTTAACTAAAACTATACTAAAAGTAAAAGAATTTAGGTGACAATATTAAACAAAAATCATCTGTCAAAATTAACAAACTCTTGACAAATGCTTTTCATAAACTTAGTGTTTTCATGAATTCAGCTGCTGTTTTCAAGAAACCTATTTCAAAGCTGAGATTTTAAAGGGAAGCACAGTAATAGAACGTAATTCATTGTCCCATTAATTGCACCAGTATGTATTGACAATGAACCAGCATGGTCAATGCAAGACCTAAGTGGAAATTAACAATTATTAAGTGATTTGTATGTTTTTTTTCCCTTTGAGGTGTCCAACTGTCTTGAATAAAGAAGCAGCTGTGTTACCTGCAAACACAAATAATCAATGCCTGTATTGAAATTTAAGCATGAGGAGTCTTAGGCCAAACACTTCTCTGTATAGGGTACCCAGCACTGAAATGCAAACATTTGGTTACAGTTTACTTAAATGTAAAGTGATTCAAACAAAGAATGCAAAATGTGTTTTTGTGGTACTCACCTAGTGGCACCCTTGCAGCTGAGGCATCAGGGTTGATCCAGAATGACAACCAGGACAAAACAACAATCAACAGTGTTGGAGCGTAAACTCCCATCAAGTAAAAACCGACCTGCCGTCGCAACGTAAATATAACCTCGACACAGGTGTAGTATCCTGGAAACAGAGAATGATTAAATACTCAAACACACAGATCTTAAATAGATAAGATAAGCTGTTCATATTCAATATTTTCTGCATTACTTTGAGACAAACTATCTTATTTTCATTGTAGTTAATAATGGCAAATTATCTTTTTAGACAATCCCGACAATCAGACAACTCCTATGAGCAATCACTTGGTGACAACGCGAACAAAAAAACTCGCCTTTAACAGGAAGAAACTATTTGCCATTTTCTGTCACTGGTTGGGGGTAGGGGAGAGTAGAAGTGACAAAAGACACACTAGAAGAGAGTGATAGAGTTTAATCACTGCTAATGAATAAAAATAATAATGGTCGATAAATGCACAGAACACGAAAATGAGGTGAGCGAAGAAGAAACAATCAATGAATCATGGGAAGCCCCAAGCAGCCTAAGCCTATTGCTGCGTAACTATGGGAGGATTCAGGCTCACCTGATCCAGAGTTGTCAAAAAGGAAAATTTTAAGCCTAATGTTGAAAGTAGAGAGGGAAGCTGGTTCTGCAGAAGAGGGGCCTGATAACTGAAGGCTCTTCCTCCCATTCTGCTTTGAGAAACTCGGGTAATTCTGCAGTCTGAGAGAAGTGGCCTACTGTGACAATATACTACTATTATTTATTTAAGATAAGATTGGACTTGATTATTTAAGACCTTATTTAAGAAGGATTTTAAATTCTATATTTAACAGGTAGCCTGAGAGTAAGCGATGGAATTAGGAGAAAATATCATCTCTCTTTCTAGTCCCTGTCAGTACTCTTGCTGCAGCATTCTAAACAAACTGAAGGCTTTACAAGAAGCTCTTAGAGTGACCTGATAATAACGGGTTACTATAGCGTAGCCTAGAAGTAATACATGCACAGACTAGTTTTTGCCTGCACAGTATAATAAAATTTCAATTTACAGAAATTGGACGTAGTCTTTTAATTCAATTACAGATTACTAACCTGTTCCTTGGTAGTACTTTGTGCAGTTTCCATATTTTATATCCTCTTGCTTGATGTCAAACTGTGGGAGAGCAATCTCATCCATTTGAACTGGGTCAGACTGCCACATGAACACAAGATCACTGGTGGTGTAGCCAACTAAAACATAAAAATTAGAATCATAAATTTTACAGCATCAGCATGATAGACATAAAAAGTACACAATATAATACATAATATGAATAGTTTACATTTTGACTTCAATTTATTTTTTAATTTCTTTGTTTCAACTAATTTTGCCTTCTCCCACTGCAGTATACCATTAGATGAGTATGTTAAAATGGGGATAGCAGCCCCAAAATCTGCTGGAAGTAATTTAAAATCAAGATTCCAGAAGCTACTGGAAGAAGAACAGAGCTCTTTATATTACAGCACATGTGGTAGTTTTCATGAAATATAACATACAAAGTACTGAGCACTTGTTGGCCCCTTTGACTTCACTCTATGCTCCTAAACCATCTTGATTGGGCTTTGGTTTCTCTTCAGCACTGTAGCCAGGCTGACAAAAAATCAGAGCACTGTTGAGCCAACCATTCCTTTAACAGCTAGTAATGACTTCATGAACTTCTTCACAAATAAAATTTTAACCATTAGAGAAAAAAAATGACTTATAATCATCTCACAGATGTAACATTATCTACAGCACCATTGATATTCATTTAGATTCTTTTTCTTCGATTGATCTTTCTGAGTTAACTTCAGTAATTCATTTCTCCAATCCATCTAATGTCTTTTAGACCCCATTCCTATAAGACTGCTCAGAGAACTCCTGCCATGAATTTAAGCTTCGATCTTAAATATAATCAATCTATCTCTAATATTCGGCTATGTACTACAGGCTTTCAAGCTGGCAGTAATTAAACTTAAAAAGCCATCTCTAGAGCCAGCAGTGTTAGCTAATTATAGGCCAATCTCTAACCTTCCTTTCATATCAAAAATCCTTGAAAGAATAGTTGTCAAACAGCTAACAGATCATCTGCAGAGGAATGGCTTATTTGAAGGAATGGCTTCAGTCAGGTTTCAGAGCTCATCACAGCACAGAAACAGCTTTAGTGAAGGTTACAAATGATCTTCTTATGGCCTCTGACAGTGGACTCATCTCTGTGCTTGTCCTGCTAGACCTTAGTGCAGCATTCGATACTGTCGACCATAATATCCTATTAGAGCGATTAGAACGCTGTAGGTATTACAGGTACTGTGCTGCAGCACAGTACCTGTAATGCCGGTACTGTGCTGCAGCACAGTACCTGTAATGCCGGTACTGTGCTGCAGCACAGTACCTATCTATCTAATAGACGTCATAGGTTTTCACTGCTATGCAGATAACACACATCTTTATCCATCCATGATACAGGGACTAGAAAGAGAGAGCAGATTTCTCCAGTATTGGCTTGCCTTCATTGGCTTCCTGTTTAATCCAGAATTGAATTCAAAATCCTGCTCCTCACATACAAGGTCTTAAATAATCAGGCCCCATCTTATCTTAATGACCTTGTAGTACCATATCACCCTATTAGAGCACTTCGCTCTCGCTCTGCAGGCCTACTTGTTGTTCCTAGAGTATTTAAAAGTAGAATGGGAGGCAGAGCCTTCAGTTTTCAGGCCCCTCTTCTGTGGAACCAGCTTCCAGTTTGGATTCAGGAGACAGACACTATCTCTACTTTCAAGATTAAGCTTCAAACTTTCCTTTTTGCTAAAGCATATAGTTAGGGCTGGACCAGGTGACCCTGAATCCTCCCTTAGTTATGCTGCAATAGAGTAGGCTGCCGGGGATTCCCATGATGCATTGAGTTTTTCCTTTCCAGTCACCTTTCTCACTCACTATGTGTTAACAGACCTCTCTGCATGAATCATACCTGTTATTAATCTCTGTCTCTCTTCCACAGCATGTCTTTATCCTGTCTTCCTTCTCTCACCCCAACCGGTCGCAGCAGATGGCCCCGCCCCTCCCTGAGCCTGGTTCTGCCGGAGGTTTCTTCCTGTTAAAAGGGAGTTTTTCCTTCCCAAAGTGCTTGCTCATAGGGGGTCATATGATTGTTGGGTTTTCCTCTGTATGTATTATTGTAGGGTCTACCTTACAATATAAAGCGCCTTGAGGCGACTGTTGCTGTGATTTGGCGCTATATAAATAAAATTGAATTGAATTGAAAAAGATATGACCTAAGTATTTCGCTAAGTATTTCCAATACTTGGTCAGGTAAATAAAAAGATGGAAAATTTAGCAAAATGACTATCAGTTGTTATTATATACTTTTGAAAAATGCATCAAAAATGTTTCAAACTGCACTAATACCAAGAACCAACACAGTTGCCGTGAATGGGAAAAAAAATGTGTTTCTTGTTTGTGTGTGTATTTTCTTGTTGTCTTTTCCTCATTCTTAGGCTACGTTCACACTGCAGGCGAAAGCACATCGAACACGACTTTTTTGACCGCATGCGACCCATATCCGATCATGGTATGACAGTTTGAACAGAACAAATCCGATATTTTTAAATCCGACCTGGGTCACTTTCGTATGTGGTACTGAATCCGATACAAATCTGATGTTTTAGAAAGCGACTGCCTGGTGGCAGATAAACTGAGTAAGGAAAGAGACGGGATAAGATATATGATACTCTTCCTTATACTTTGATCATTGAGAAATCCATTTGTCCTGCAAGTTGCATGGCGGCTTCTGCACAATGGGGCTAATGCTGCAAGCAAGTCCAACTCTTAACTGGTGGTAAGGTTTAAATCCTTTATTGTGGTAAGGAAAGATGACGTTTATGATCTGTAGGTTTCTGGACAGTCATCAAATTGTGATAATTGTGACCAACCAGTTCTCTATGTGCCAAAGTTTTTGCCATGTCCATCACAGCTGCACTGGATGCATACTCTTCGTCAGGGGACTAGCTGCATATTGGTTTTCATTTGTTCATGGTGCAGTCAAAGCACTTAACATTCACAAGAGCACTTTCTTCCTCACTGATCTTCTTCTATGATTAAAGTGCTTATGCATATTCATACTCTGATGGATGCATCAGAGAGCAGCTTTGGTTAATATCTTGCAATATTTGGCATGCAGACTTGGGGGAGCCAAGGATCGATCCACCAAACTTTTGATTCCAAACCTTCCAGTAAATGACCTGCTCTGCCTCCTGAGCTACAGCAGCCTGCGGCCTTTAATGTGTCTACCTGGGCAATGCAGCTGCTGCCTACTTTTCAAAATGCAGGGCATCTAAATTAGCCTCCAATCTTGCTTTGGAAACCTTGATGGCATTTTCCCTTTCTACAAATGTTTCACAAGCTCTTGCAGCTTCTGCCAATGCTCTTGCTCATGCCGCTTCAACACCCCCAGATGATTTTGATGAGCATTTAGAACCAGAATGTTTAGAGCTGATGCCTTATCTTTAATGCTCAGTGATTTCTTCAGTGAAGGGCTTCTCCAGCATGTCTTGTCCATGTTTACTGTTCACTTCAAAAAACTGCGATGTACAGGGTGGGCCATTTATAACATGGGAATGGTTGGTGATATTAAAGTCCTGTTTATGGCACATTAGTATATGTGAGGAGGCAAACTCCTCAAGATGGGTGGTGACCATGGTG